GGCTACCCACGTTCAAAACCTCTCCCACTTCAGATTGCACTTCCCTTTGCTCCTTTGCCCATCATTTCCAGCTCACACTTTTAATATAAAACTCATTCTTTCCTCTAAAGCCTTTGCCCATTGTCCCCTTGCCATGATGAAGCTTTGTCCTCAATAAGATGCCAATTGCTTCAGAAAATATCTCAAAGCTAAGGTAACTTCTTGTTACCAAGAGTTATGGTAACAAGAAATTAAGATGACACAAAGGAGGTAAAAGCTGGCCAAATCCGGATTTCCAGAGCTGTGGTAACATGCTGGATTGGTTGGATAGGCAATACTTGTCCAATGGAGCTCAAATTTGGATATGTTGTAGTTAACATCCATTGGAACAAGTCTCATGAAGATCATGACCTCATCCGAGCACCAGAGCATATTGATCCCAAGCCAAGAAGTTGACCTACGAAAATGAACAAAAACAGAATTTATAACTAATAATGCACTTTTAGCTCATTTTCATCCCAACCAAGGTAAAATCTAAGAAAACACAAAAAGGAAGTAAAAAGCTATAAAATGTCAAGAACTAACTCAAAATAGTGGGTGAATAACATGAAAAATCATGTGTAAAAATGAACCGAACACCATTTTGCCACTCAATTAATGGTTGGGATTTTAGTGTTTTCTTGAAGCACCGTATTCGTCTATTTGTTAGTCACAACTAGATATCTTGATGGTTTTCAATTTATCTAATTTGTTGCAAAGATGATTCATGAATGATAACTTGAAAAACAAACGATTCAGATTGTTCAAATGGAATTCGTAGTGGACCCCACAATAAGGTGTCATTCAAATAAAATATTTAAGAGATCTCTTAATTGAAGGGAATTGTACATATATATATATATTGTGGATATATACATGAATGGTAGCTTGTCTAGTTCACACTACTACAAAAATCGCAATAGACGACGGTAATTCACCGTCGTGTTTCGTGTTTTTCAACCGTCATAAAATCGACCGACATCTTTTGATGCATAAAACCACGACGATAAATCCCCGTCTTCTATTATATGTAAAGACGACGGGTTTTAGTAAAACCGTGGTTTTTCTTATGTAAAAACAATAGTTTTTTTGTTAAAAACCGTCGTTATTTATGGGTAAAGACGACGGTTTATAAAAAACCGTCGTTATTTATGGGTAAAGATGACAGTATCTTGTTAAAACCGTCGTTATTTATTGGTAAAGACGTCGGTATTTCGTTAAAAACCGTCATCACTTAGTTGTAAAGACGTCGGTAGTTTATTAAAAATCGCCGTTAATTGTATATAAAGAAGACGACATAGTGTTAAAAAGGTCATTGATTATATGTACAAACGACGGTTTTTCCAATAAAACCATCGTTTTATTGTCTTTAAATTTGTCGTCTAATAAATTCCCAAGCTATTACATTTTTGTTTTTTGTTTCCTATGATTCTATATAACGATTTTAATCAGAAAACCAATTATAATGCTTTATTAACGAATATATACACTCAAAAATGATTTCTTTCATAAAACTTGAAGACTCAATATATTACATAGTCAACCAATCTTTATTCTATTGCGTACATACTTCCTACCTATAATTAGAAATAATAGAGCTCACAAATTCTACTAATTTGATCTTAACTTCATCAATTTGTTCTTGGGTTGACTTAGCTCTGCCTTCTTGCACATTTTCCAAGTTGGTGGTGTCGGAGGGACCTGTAATCTGTTGAATCAACTTAGAAATTTGCCTCTCATACTTCCTGAAATCCTAACAAAAAGAAAAAGCACGGCATTACAAACTGACATAAAGGAAGAAAAAAAACATGTTGAAAAGTGGATTAGAATAACATGACTTATCCAAACATTACAATAATCACAATGACAAGAAAAGATCATGATAGTAATCATCAGTAATAATAAGAAATAATATAAAGTAATAATATCAACAGGCAAACGATACATTACAGAACAAAGGAGAGAATCAATGGAAGCATGCATTCTAATATTGAGTTCCAGAATCAGATATTCAAACGACATATATTAAATTAATCAATTCTATTAGATATCATGAAGTTGTAGACAAATAGAAAAAACAGAAGCATTGTTTCACAAAACCAATAGAATAAAGCCTTCAAGGCTTAATGTTTGGGTGCCAGCAGACCTCAATGGAGCGTAATTTCAGTGCCTGGTTTTCATCATCAGACTGTTTAAGCTTTTGTAGTCTCCCCTGCTCTAGATTCAGAGCACTTTCTGCTGCCTTGAGTATGTTACCTGCCATTAAATTGCCCAGTTCATGTATCAGATGGTGGAAAACTTTTGGAAAGAAACAATTGAAAAGCCCATGAAAAGAAAGAGGTGCAAGAAAGTTCTTTTATTTCCCATTTATAGGAGAAATACCTGCCTGGGAAGTGGGAACCAGTTATGGGGTATCAAAGACAGGATACATGCCTAAAGAGGAATTCAACATGAATTCAAGCAAAGAAAAATTTTGCATCGCAAATGAGTAGAAATGGTTAACCACGATTAATTGAGATAGCATAGGTTAGTAATCGAGCATGTAAGACAAATGCAATGAAAAGTATATACAATGAGCATGTTGGGGTAAAGTGATTTAATAATTGTATTATCAATTAGATTAACCGGCAGAGATATTACTGAAACCAAGAAAGAATAAATGAAAGTTGAATTAAGCATTCAGATTTTAAGTTCTCCTTCATATAAAATTTTATATTATGTCCCATAAAAAATATGTTTCCAAACAAAGCTGATCACAAGTAAAGTTATAATCTGGCCAATGGCCAAAAGAAAAAAAGAACAATTTTAGTAACAATATGTAGATAGACATTTAAAAGACGCTCCCACAGGATTTCAGAACAGAACAGAATCAGAAAGCTTAAAGAGTGATATGAAGACTAATTGCTTATTATTGTTGTCCGAAAAAAATCAAGATTTCAAACATAATAAAGCATGGGCTTCTCTACTACCTCTAATAACTGAACTAAACTGATCATCATCCACGATGCAAAGCTGTATATGGAAACATCTACTTACAGAGGTTCCTATCTTGTCTTTGAAAACAAGGTCATCATCCACTAAACTTTGGATCACATCTTTTACAGATTGAGAAATAACACCTTTCTTTGGGCCTGACTTCTCAAGCTCCTTTAGCTAAAATCACCAATAAACATATAAACAGAGCTGTAGAAGTACAATATAAGCTGAAACCATTGACATTGTTCACAATGACAAAGAGATTAACCACATTTGAAATTACAGAACTCAATTGAAATCAATTCGAATAGGGTTCGCAAATTAAAATTACAAAAAATTGAATGAATTCATTAAAATTATAGCATTAGGGCGTGATAATACTCACAAGGAAGAAATCTTGAGAGTCGTAAAAGATTTGAAGCATCTTCTCACGCTTCTCATCCACTAGAGAGATGGCGAGCTTGGCAAGCTCGATGAGATGGATGGGGCGAGCTCGGTGACCTAGATAGCGCAAGGGAGATGGCGATCTCGGCGAGTTCCATTACGTGGATGGCACGAGGGGAGATGGTGCTTCAGATATGTAATAGAGATATGAGATTGGAGGCAGAGCTCGGAGACGACGACAACCAAGGGGCTAAAGATGGGTCGCAAACAGTGACCTGTGTCGGCGAGCTCGGTGACGACCACAGAGAACAAATGGGAGGGAGATTCAGAGAGTTGAGGGTTTCGATTTTCAGAATGAGGGAGATTCAGAGAGTTTAGGGTTTCGATTTTCAGGAGGGAGAGAGAGGGATGTTCCATTTTCAAAAGGAGGGCGAATTCTGAAATGTTTTGGTCGAGGGTGAATAACTTAAGTGTCCTTTTGTTTTAGCGTGTTTTCAAAGGACGACGTTTGTGAATTCCACACCGTAGTGTTTTTAAAATCAACTGCTTTTAGTGGTGTACTAGATTACATACCACGACTGTTTTAAAAAAAACCGTCATTTTTTGAAATATAATGACGGTTTTTAGATTAACTGTCGTCTAGCTTGTGTCGTTGTTTAACAATTTTGTAGTAGTGTCATCACCATCTTGATCACCATCTCGATCACCTTAATTGAAGTGGATCGTACCTATATAATACGATACTTGATCACCATCTTGATCACCACACCTAGCAATCAATCAGTTCCCAAGTTATGGCATTCTTTCATTGCTTCCAAACTTCTATCCGAAATGGCGAGACAACAACAAGAAGAGAGGGTGTGATTGTTACCCAGGTTACGACATTGATTCACTGCTTCCCAACTACAATAAGAGTAGGGTGTGACAGTTAGGGTTTGTGTACAAAAAGTAATATGGTTCCACTACTACAAAAAGGGCAAAAGACGACCAGAAAAAGACGATGGTAGAACAAAAAACCGTCGTTGTTTTTAAAAAGACGACGGTAACAAAAAACCGTCGTGGATAAGTGACTTAAACAACTAAAAAATGGAGATACTGTTGAGAATTTTTTTATAACGACGCACACAAATAAAAAAGCGTCGGCTTATTAAAAATCTTTTCTTTAGAGTTAAAATCTGACCAAAAAACAACGACATCAGGTATGACAAGCGTCGTCTTTTAAAAATCAAGTGTCCTTTTTTTGGTAAAGACATGATTGTTTTGAAAGAACTGTCGTCTATTATATGTAAAGATGACGGTTTTTTTATAAAAAGGGTCGTCTATTAT